ATAAATTGGAGCCCCCAGCCTCCCACCCCTCTTCAACTCCATTCGCAAATCACACAGACCTCGCACCGCCCGCCACCGCCGCCCCAATCGACAAAACGGGCACGTAGTCTCTTTCGAGCTTAGCCCCCCTCAGTTGAAAGCTGAGCACTGCCCTGCCGTGCCTGCCTACCCGTGCTCAGCGTTGAAGAATAACGAAAGTCACCCTCCAACGCGGCATGTCTCTCGATTTGTTCTGGTATCGAGGCACGAGGTAGCAGTTCACGGCAACCTGAAGCATCAAAACAGCAGATCATCTTAGACCCACGAGAGGCAACATCAGCCCAGTGACACATCGCTAAAGAGTACCAAGTAGCCATCGCGCAGGTTTAATTCAACTCGGATACGAAATGGACACACCATCCCACCTTTTGAACGGATACGTTGAGCTCTGGAGATGCCTCAAGTGGCCCGCCGATCCAGGACAGGCCCTGTTTCGTGGTGCTCGTATCTTCATCTGGTCACTTCCAGCTCGACCATCGCTATTAACCAGCGACAGCTGTAGGAAAGTCTGTCAAATAGTCGTACTGGAACTTTCGAGCTAGCCAAGGGTTTGATTCCTTCAACGTTCGACAATGGAATGTTTCGAGTTCCCAATTTCTTCCACTGTCGAGGCGTCGATAGGTTCCACTTACAATTCAACGAGGTTTTATTGCTACAACTCAAGCAACAATACGGCTTCCTCCATTGTTCACACTCACACATGTTGCCTTTCGCATAATCACATCCATCTACCGACTAAAGATTTGACAGCAATTGACAATCGACCCCTTGGACATCCCATGTTCGGCCTGTCCCCATCCTCTTGTCATCCCAAAACCGTCCCCTTGACGTCGATCTCGTACAAAGTGTATCAAGCCTGCCATCCCCTGTCCCAGACACCACGGCACGAATTCGACTTGGCATCCCGAGTCCGATAACTGCGACAGAAGATCTTCAAACCCGCCCCGTTCTGGACATTCTCTTCAACTGCCATTCATCCCAAACCCCCAGTTTGATTTTGCTTGGCCGTTCCCCCCTTCCATTGCAACAGTCACCTTGACCGTCGGCGTCCCTCGCCTATTTCGATCCATGCCCCGCGGCTGCGTTCGTCTAGTCTAGGCTTATATTTAAAGTGACGGATCGAAAACACAAAGGGCCCCTGGTACCGGAGGTGCGGGCTCGAATTGTCACCTCAAACGCTTGCCGAGCCGACTTTAACTCTACGCAGGCGATCCCTACCTTCTAGACTTTGGCGGGGAACATCTGACTGACTTCAGACCGCCAAGCTTCACTGATTCTGTTGATATCAGGGTGTAATATATCACCACCACCCTCAGTCAATGGTCCAGTGTCAGCAACTGCATAAGAGGTTTCCCATTATGCATAGAGCACCATCTCGCAGACTTTCATGGAGACAAAGTGGGGGAGAATATGCCATCCAATGCGTCGTCCACTCTTGCCGTCATAAGGCAAGTGGACTGTGAATGAACAAAACTCTCATGATGCAGTAGGAGGAATACAACCAATCCCATCCCGCGTACGATAGTCCAAGGACCTTGTCTTGGTTCATTGTACATGTCGGAACGGGCATGACAGACGTCAGTGTTTCAAGCTCTCTCCCGCGATAGTAGTCTTTCCAACAGGCGCTGTACCGGATGTGCCGGACTCAGGGCAGACCCAGCTTCAAGTATTGAGTGCCGGATGCGAATCACTCGGTGTCAAATGCTCATCTATGCCTTCCTCTTGACCAGAGACCATGACCGTGATCTGCCGGCGTACCTAGTCCCAGGTGAAGCTAAGTAACAAACGCTTCCCTCGTTCCCTTACAAATCATCCCAAGACATGCGAGACTGGACGAAGACGGGGCGTGACATCTGAACAAGTACCGGCTGTCGCCGTAGAATCCGATTTGTCTCCTTGACCCGCGTCTTAACGCGCCTCTTCTATGATATGGGGGCAGCAAGCTCCCAGCAAGCCTTTTCTATGCCCTTCATCAGATGCTCTTTCCCCGCCATCGTCACCCCGGTAGTACTGTACCGAGACGGCATCCATCACAACCGTCTCTCTACGTCCCTTCTTCCGAGAACTTCACACCTCTCCTCTACTACCTCGCCATGCTTTCACTTCAGAACGTCTCCTAGCTCCCACCTATACATGATGGCAATCCCGCAGCCATCGTCAACACCCTTTCTTCATCGCTCCCTAATAAAAAATCAAATCCAAAGGCTTCTGCTCGTCCCCGTACCGCTCCTTGAACTCCTTCCTCGACAACCACCGCGCGAGCGGGAGCATCGTGTCCTTCATGTCCATGATGCCGCGCTTCTTTTGATCAATGTGCGAGGCGTCGACCACGAGGCGCTGGAGTTTGTCTAGTTTTAGGGCTCCTAGGTTTGCAAGGTTAGTTTGCTGTGTTTTCTGGGCTATGTACATTCTGTGCATGTTCTCTGTCTCTCGTGTTGTGGCTATTTGGAGGTCCATAACCGCAGTGATGTGCGTAAAGGGGGGGGGGATTTAGTTTACGGTACTCACCATTGTCTACCAACTCCATGAGTCTGGCGGGCGTTCCGACCGCGATGCCCGTTCTTGTCTTTTGTAGAAACTGGACTTGCTCGTCTACCTTCATGTGCTTTGCAAACTATGAATGTGCCCACGTTAGCCTTCTTCCCATCTTCGCCCCTCAAACCGGATACCGGTATGGACAAACATTTCCCACTCAATACTCGAATCTCAAAAGAGTGAGGGAATTCAAGGTAAACAGAATATTCGGAGCGTGAAAAAGCGACTAGGAGAAGAAGAGGAGATAATTGAAAACTCACCAGCTTGGAAACGGTACTCTCCTTCCCCTGAAACTTCCTCACGGCCCTCACGACGTCCGCCGCCCTCAAGCCCGCAGCAGCGACGATGATGGTGTGCGGCGCGCCCTTGACCTTGGGCGCCGTGAAGAGCCTGTCGGGCCTCTCTGCAAAGTTCTCGAGGAAGGCAGGGAGGTTGTCCAGGGCGCGGGGCTGCGTCCAGGATGTGGTGTCCTTGATGGCATTTGCTTGTTTGTGTCAGTACGATTTTCATTTATTTGTTCTCCAAAGTATCCCCTTCTCTTTATGGGAATAGAATCATACGTATGGAAAAACGAGGTAATTGGGAAAGTAGTAATAAAAAAATGACGAGGTGCCAAAAACTCACCAGAGATGGACAGATCCGAAAGCTCAACCGGACTCAGATCCGTACCGAAGCGGGAAATCTTTTGCGCCGTGTAGTCTGCGAGGAGCTGGTTGTCCATGACGGCAAAGGACTCGTTGATTCCCAGCTCGGCGTTGAGTAGCGTCTCGTCGACCTGGTAGGCTGACTTCTTCTTCTGCTTCTTTGCCTTTTGGCCGCCCTCGCCGCCTTCTTGGCTGGGCGCCGCTCTCTTTTTCGTGTTGGACATTGCTGTGTGTCGACGTGTGGGTTTTGCGTTCTGGGAAGTCTTGATCTACTGGTTGATGTCTGAATGAAGTGAGTTTCCGGGTGGTTGGACGTATCTCAGGTGAAGACTTTTTGGTGGTTTACAAGTTTCGGCGAGGATTTTGGTGTAGTTGATATGAGAACTGGGCAGCGTATGAAAAATTTCGATGTTGAGAAGGAAAATTTCAATCTCGCACTGTACGTACGAGAGGTAGGCCCCTTGGGTGACACCTGGGGAGAGATCCGTAGGTGCTTGGGCCCGCACTGGAGCACTCACAGTGCGCATATTTCCGTCTGCTAAAGCGCACCTCCAGACAGGCAGTTGTCGACGGACTGACCGAGGGAATTGACGGACTTTGTGAAGAAAGAACCTTTTCATTATCTGTGTGTACACTACCTGATACTCATTGAACAAGCTTGCAAAGGCGAAAGGGAGTTCATATTAGTTTCCCTTTTACTATGAGACTGGGCATTAGCAGCCGAGTGGTCGCAGGAAGGGGGGCCTTTGTGGTTCCGCAGCTGTTGTGCTCTCCATTGACCTCCGTCAAGTACCCTAGAAGAGAGGATAGCCTTCATAATCTGCAATCGTTACTTGGTAAGGTAGGCAACCCATTCAACACATGTGTGGTTTTTCTTACAACTCCTAACAGATGACGTAAAATACTGCCGAGCAACTTGTACTTAGACTGTGTTCGCTTTTGCTGGGCGTCAAGTAGTATCCAAAGACCACTCGTCAACACACCCCATACAGTCGCAAAGGAAGAAAGGCAGATGATGATCGTACCATCCACAACAGTAGTGGTTTTGCACGCAGATACCCGCAATCCCTAAACATCTGTCAAATGAGGAGGAAAACATCTCTTTCTCTCCAAGTGGCTCATGGCTCTCACTGAAAAGCCAAGTCAGCCAAATGCCGTTGAAATCAAGAGCATCTTGTTCACATAGCCTCTGTGGCTTACATGAACATCGTGAAGCCAGCAGCCTTACCTTCTAGAGACGAGTCACTTCGCTTTCCCAAGCACCAGCAAGTCAAGCCAAATCTCATCAGCACAGAAACGATACAAATTGAGCCAGAAGAGAACGAACCACTCCAATGCCGAAATCCAAATGTCCGTCCCATACTCCCCTCTCCCTGCCCGAGATCCCGCCTCCGATAGAATCGTACCCCACAGGCCGGCCGCATGTATACCGGTGTACGAGTGAGCGCGCGCCAGCCAAGCACGGTCACTCAGTCCCATAAAAGTTTTCTAATCGCTGCCCGCCGCTCCTTATCCTTCCTTATCGCTCGCGCGCCCCCACACCGAAACTTTTTTTTTGGTCCCCCGAAGTTCGTAGGTAGTCTCTGGGCAACAATTTTCAAAGGGGAAATATTTTGAACCGAGTCCCCCCTTCTTGACCGCGTCGTTTCTTGCTCCACAGTACGGTGACCGCTACGGGACCCTTCGAATTATAATCCCAATCTTTGTTGCTCTCGTTCAATTCGACACTTCATACCAACGATCTCGAATCTTCCTCGAGTCCAAGGCCCAGCATCAGCAACAATGGCCTCCGCAGAACTCTCCAAGAAGCGCAAGCGCGCCGAGCCCACGGCCGACGCCGCCGCCGTCGCAGACGAGTCCTCGACGAAGAAGTCCAAATCCGAAAAGAAGGAGAAGAAGGAAAAGAAGGAAAAGAAGGCCGCCGCCGAATCCGCACCCGAAGGCGGAGAATTCATCGCCCTCGAGGAATCAAAGGCCGAAAAGAAGGAACGCAAGCGCAAGGAAAAGGAAGCGCGTAAAGCCGCCGAGGCCGCCGTAGAGGACGCATCAGCAGACGCCGACGCAATGGACGTCGACCCGCCCGCGCAAGAGAAGAAGGTTAAGAAGAGCAAGAAGGGAGATTTGGATGTCAAGACGGAGAAGAAGGAGAAGAAGGACAAGAAAGAGAAGAAGGATAAGAAGAAGAAGGAGGCCGCTGCAGAGACCGAGACTGAGGCCAATGGTGTAGAGACTGCTGTCGCCGAGGAAAAGACGGAGAAGACGGAGAAGAAGGGAAAAAAGTCAAAGAAGGCGAAGAAGGCAAAGGACGAGGCTGCGCCGGCGGCAGCGGCCCCTGTCGAAGAAGCAGCGGCTGAGCCAGCAGCTCAAGAAGAAGAGACCGCCGAGGGAGGAAAGAGGGAAAAGTACATTGTTTTCGTCGGTGAGTCCAGCCTACATCCCTCCCATCACCATCACCACCTCCAAACCCAACAAGTATGGACGCCCAGCTAATCATTCCCTCAACCCCCCAGGAAACCTCCCCTACACGGCAAACAAGGACTCCATCAACGCCCACTTTGCAGCCTACAAGCCCTCGGCCATCCGCTGCCTCCACAAGGACGGCAACCCCAACGTCTGCCGCGGCATCGCCTTTCTCGAGTTCTCCAACGGCTCCAACATGCGCACCTGCCTCGACAAGATGCACCACACCTCGTTCGACGACGGCCTCTCGCCCGCGCGCCAGATCAACCTCGAGCTTTCGTACGTTTGCGTCCCGTATTCCTTCACCCCTAGCCCTCACCATCCTACCCTGATCCTGACCCTCCTTCTACCTCTCCTAAACCAACCCCTGCCTCCCCTGATGTAAACTTCAGCTAACAAACAACAGCGCCGGCGGCGGAGGCAAGAGCAAGTTCCGCAAGGACAAGATCAAGGAGCGCAACGTCCAGCTCGACGAGAACCGCCACAGGCGCATGCAAAAGGAGGAGGAGTACAAGAAGGAGAGGGCCAAGCAGGGTGGGGCCAACTCCCAGCAGGATAGCATCCACCCCAGTCGCTTGGCCATGATGTATCAGTAGACGGAAGGATGGACGAACGGGCATGAATGTTGGAAAGGTGTAATTTGGTCGTTGTTGGACTGATGAACAAAAAGCTGGATCTGGATGTATATACACCTCTGGATCAAGGAACCAGGAGTTGTGGTATAGAAAAAAGGGAGATCAATAGAGCCATCAAAGCATTGCAAGCAACATCAAGATTCTCACGCATCCAATACCCAAGTGCATTTGCAATGGCAGTCAATTCTCAAGACGAAGCTCATCCCTTCCTGACCCAGTGTCTAAATTCCTCCATGAAAAAAGTAGTGTCTTTGTGAGAGTGAGTGCTATCTACAGAAAACGTGGGATATCCTTGTGTTGTTATGTTGCAAAGCATGCCTGCTACCAACGATGCCCCATTGTGTCTTGTCATTCTCTTCTTCGCCTTTTGCTCCCGGAAAAGAGACAAAAGAGCAATAACGAAAGCACTGATCCTGCTCAACTGTCATGGCCGATTCCAGAGACACCACGAGTGTCATTCACAAATTCGGTGTGGCAGATGGGCAAAATCTGATATTTGGGGGTTTGTTGCGATCTTCGCAGGCTGTGCTCAGCGGGGGGCTCTCGAATGGGGTTGTGCCTCTGAAAATAAGTGTTTCTTCTCGTTGGATAAGCGTGAGGCACCGGGTTGTGCAACATGGTTGAGCCCTGACGAAAAGGCAGCAGAGAACTAGGCGTGTTATACACTGCCGAACGCCAATCCAAATGTTAACCCGCAACGCTTGAGGTCAAGTAAAAGGCGTTTACAAAATCGTGCACTTGGACTTCTTCTTCTGCGTAGCGACCGGGCGAGGGTTCAAGACGGCACTAATTCCAGGTTAGCTATTTACTCTGACACATTGGCACTGAAGAATCCTCACCGAATAGCCTCATCGAAAACGCTCTTCAGATTTCTCTGTGTCAGGGCAGAGCACTCTAGGTACTTGTGTGCCTTGATCTCCTTGGCGCAAACCAAGGCCTGATCGTAGGAAACGGGCTCCATGCGCTTTTGGCGGAGGGACTCGAGGGTGTTGGGGTCCTCTCTCAAATCCAACTTGGTGCCGACGAGGATGATGGGAATGTTTGGCGCATGGTGGTCGATCTCGGGGTACCACTGCATCAAATTAGTGCTGATCTCCATGTGGTGGTGGTCGTCGTCGTGGTGCAGGATGCCGTACCTTGGCCTTGACGTTGTCAAATGACGGCGGGCTGACAATGGAGAAGCAAATGAGGAAGACGTCGGTCTGGGGGTATGAAAGCGGCCGCAGTCTGTCGTAATCTTCCTGACCAGCAGTATCCCAAAGTCCCAGGCTGATCGGCTTTCCATCAACCATCACACTCGCCGAGTAGTTGTCGAAGCTAGAAGCTGGAGGTCAGATCGGAACTCCTTCATCAATCGCCATGTAGAGTGCTTACACGGTAGGAATGTACTCGCCGGGGAAGGCGTTCGTTGTGTAGGAAATAAGCAGGCATGTCTACAAGATGGATTAGTCGCGAGATGCCGAGGGGTATGATGATGGGAGCAGCTTACTTTTCCGACAGCACCGTCACCTGTCACCACGCACTGCAAGATCACAACACCATTAGCGATTCGCTCCTTCCCAACTATCGATATCAGGATGATGGGTGTCGCCAAGCGCGACGCACCTTCAACGACTGGACTCCTGGCTGAGCCATTTCTGTGATATCTAAACGATGTGTAGTTGGATTCCACGACAGTCGTTGATGCGAATAGAGTTCGCAGGTTGGGTTAGGAGAAGCGGCTGCGAATTGGAAATCGATCCGAAATGGGATTCTGCAAAGTCAAGTGTGACACCAGGTTGGAGGGACAAGGAGAATTGGCGAGCGTTTGGATTAGGCGGTGGTTGCTCAGATGTGTGTTTGGTCCTGAGGAATCGCAATTATGGGTGTGGTATAGAGAGCTTTGGTATAGTATGGTACGATGTGGGCGGCCTGGGCTGGCGACAAGCGTCGTGTCGTGTCGCGTCGTGTCGAACAGACAAAGCGGCAAAGGAGATTCAGGTTCCAGGTAGCAGGAGCGGAAGGAACGAGGCGAGAGCAGGAGGGTCTAGACGACGAGTCTCTGTTTGACGGCAAGGTTAGGGTCGGACACAGAGCGAGGTAAGGTAGGCGAGAGAAAGAGTCAAAGGGTATGAGAGTGTGAGGTGAGAGTTTGGGACTTGGGTATCCGTACAGATGGAAGTGAGCAGAGTTGGCGTAAGGTGGCAGAAGAAAGCGAAGCAGGCACACTGCGCGGCAGCAGCAAAAGACGACTGGAGACGACTGGAGATGGGGAGTCTGAGCTCTGGTGGGTTCCGATGGCTGCATAAAAAGTCGAGGTCAGAAATGTTTTGACACAGCGGAAGGGATTAGTGCCGCAGGAGGTGAAGCTGGAAGGGTGATAACGGTACCCTGTATATCTAACCTTCTTCTCAGGCAAAGAAAGTGGGGATGGGGGCAATTGGGAAACCTGAGGGAAGGGAAGTGGAGGGGGTCGGGGTGGGCACTGGGCACACTGGCGCTGGGCAGGCGGTTTAGAGTAGCAGTGCGGTAGGGTCGTCGTAAGGTCCAGGGAATGGAAGGAAAGGTATGAGGTGAGGTGGTGAGGTAAGGGCAAGGCAAGGTGAGGAGAGCCCGAGAGCAGTGCTGAGATGGAATGGGAATGGCTACCTCAGTAACTTGGTCCGACGTAGGTAGTTAGGTAGGTACCTTTTGGTACGGGGTCTGTCTGGTCTTGGGACAGGGCAAGGGGGGAGAAGCCGACGGGGGTGTGTCGAAGGTGGTGGGAAAGTGAAAGCGTTGGACAACGGGAGAGGAGTCTGAGGAGAGGAGTATCCATCCGTACGGATGGGAGGAGAAGGATGAGAGAAGAGGAGCGAGCCCGAGGACAGCCCTGACCAAGCAGGACAAAACACTCACCAGGATAAGGTAAGATGCAATGAGAGACAGTCACCAAGGCAGTGTGCTGTACGCAGTATTGGTACTGGACGGATCCAGATTAGAGCAGCAAGGAAGTCACTGCTGATGGGATAGGGATTCAATGTTTCGAGGTTGGCGGCTACCTTACTTTTGCTGTCAGAAGTGGGAGTGTGCCCCAGCCGCAGCAAGCTACAAAGAGTGTTGAAGAGAACCTGAAGACGGGATGGGATGTTGGGTTGTCACGTTGTGTGAGTTGTGAGTTTGAACAACAAAGAAGACAAGAGGGCGGTGGCAGTGGAAGCAGCCGGCCGTGGCAGTGAGCGATATCGAGGCAAAGCACGATTGACTGGAGATTTCAAGAGATCGGTTATAGTGGATTGGGAGAAGATGGCAGGTATTGCTAACGATGGATGATGGATAGGTACAGAGAGAGCACACAACGGCTAGGTAGGTAAGGTACAGGCACAAAGTGACGAACAAGCAATAGAAGTCAAGGCAACAGAAGGCAAAGGTTTGGCAAGATGCGAGGCGAGTGAGGTGAGGATGAGGCAAGAAGCGCTGAAAACCAAGGTACCTTTGGTTAGGTAATGTAAGGTAAGGTACCTTGCTCCCCCGACGTAGGTAGAGAGCGGTAGAGAGGTACTTACACAGATAACCAGGCGCGGGTTTGGGAAGGAGGGGAAGCAGAGGGGGGCATATGGGTGGCACGTACCGGTGTGCGGTCTGCGATGCGATGCGATGCGCTGCAGTGCAGTGCGTCGCGGGCAGCAAGGAGCTCCTGGCTGCAACAGTTTCGGCGTCAACGTGCTTTACCTTGTAACGACCTATTGACCAGTGATCCCAATCCAATGGGAAAGCGGCGGCAAAGAGGGCAAAGAGTTACAGGTTCGCAATATCTGAGTTGGGGGTCCTAGGTAGAGTTGCCAATGGAGAATGGAAGCAATGCGTCGCGACCAGACGAAGATTGACGGACTCATTACTGGACGGTAGTAGACCAACGTAAGTTTGGCATAGCAGATGATTGATTTGATTGACTGGATGGATCTGATGGTGTGCAAGGTGAGGCGAGAAGGATGAGACCAGCCGGGCGCGTGTGGGAGGTCACTGGCGGTTCACAGGCCCAAGGGAGAGAACTTGAGGCTTGCACGAAGTACCTTAGGTAAGGCACCGTGCAAGGTACCAGTGGACGCTGCACTGCGTTTGAAGGCGCGGGATGGATTTGGGACTTGGGAAGGAGGACAGGCTGGATTGGGTGGTCAAGATCCGGCAGGCGGGCACGGCGCAGGCCAGTCAGCGGCGGAATTCTTCGGGGGGTGGACGGTGGACGGTAGGTAAGATGTGGGTTCTGAATTTCTGGTGGTCAATATTGGTCGGGTCCCGTCTGAGGACGAAGATGAAGATGCGAGCGAGATGGAGTATCTTGTCCTTCCATTGTACGGAGTAGGTGTTAACCTTTGAAATCATGCGGAGATTGTCTGCCGACAGACACTAAGGTAGATGGTCGGCGATGATGTAGGAGGTGCCTTCCCACGCTTGCTTGCTTCCTTCCTTGGAGGCGGAAAGCGAGTTAAGGAAACGGGAGGCAAGAGCAAGTTCTTACTCTCAAGGAAAGAGAGGCTGGTGTTGGGTCCCGGACTAGGTCTGGATCTGGATCTGTCTGGATGGATGGATCCAATACCTACCGATACTTGTGGTTGGCGGCGGTGTGGGTGGTCCGTGTTGACCCCTCACCTCCGTCGTCGGTGGTTGGTTCTGCGATTGGCGCTTTGCTGTCGGCGGGGTTTTTTTGACGGGCCACTGGCAGATGAGGTACTCAGAGGTACGTGCAACAAACACCAACCACTAAGAGCGGCTCATGACGATGCCAATGTCGTACCTCGAGGAATGAACCGAACTCGACCTGGACTCTGCCTGGGATCGTCACGGGAATGAGACGTTGATAGGGAAACAAGAAAACTGTACAACCTTTACGGACACCTAGGTAGCTAAGCGATGGCGCCGCTACTTTGGAACCAGAACTTCACTCTGGAAACGCGATGACCTTGACTAGGGATGCTATCCCAAGAAACCAACCCAGACGAATG